AAGCTTTGCAAGTGGCTGCACTCCTGCACCAGCGCTGCGAGAGTTCCAGCAGGTAGGAGGAGGCTCCTAAAAGCAGAAGAGTGCTTTGAGCTGATGAGTGAAGAAGTTAATGGGGGAGGTGGGTGCATGACAACTGTCTGGTGGTAAAGAAAATCTGAATTGGAAGAACCTAAAGCAAAAGTTGCAGGGCTAGATACTGCAAACTTACATGAGTAGCATCTTGGTTTTGTTTTTTTTTTTTTTCCGAGGAGCTGATTAACTGTGGTTCTTGTTCATTGCTACACCATTGCAGAAACTCAGCAAATGTCTTTAATAGTTTTAGGATCATCTTAGAACCTGGGTTTAGAAAAGCTTAGACATCAGTCAGACATCATTAGACTTAAACATCATTAATTTTCCAGGAAGTTAAATGGAGTCTTAAATAACACTTCTCTGCAGCTCCATCCCCAGAGGTATGCATTTCTTTTTTTAACTGGTGTTGTTTGGAAATAAAGGACTTATCCCCTGAGTATAAATATACCAGGATCCCCCCTCTCCAGGTTAAAAATACTGCAGAGACTCGAATTTTTTGAGTGGCGAAAGCCAAGCCCTTGCTGTTGCATTCCAGTGCAAATATCTACTCCGCCACCTCATGTTTCTGCTTTTTATTGCTGGTATTTACGCCCATAAAACACGAGTTTGAAAGGATGCTCCTTAGATAAAGTCCACTTTCCTGCTAATTATAAACAACTGAGTCACCCTCACAAACAGATTTGTCAGGTTCCTTCTTGGAAGCAGTGAGGGCAGGCAGTTCGTGTGCAGTATGGCTGATCTGGTGCTGCTGCCGTACCCTGGGAAACCAGTTACCTTTAACTTGAATTCCACTAAACCAGCAGGCTCCATAAGGGGAAGCTGGTTACCACAGGTCAGAGCTGCCTCTGCATACTCGCCCATTGCTCACGGGAAGAAGAGACGAGACATTGAGACAAGGGAACGGGGCTGTCTGGCCGAGAACACAATTTCCTGGGTGCAATGATGCTTAATCCTCCGTTAGGAAGTGAGAAATTATCTGTATCGCAGCCGTTTCGGTACTCACCTTCCAGGTAAGTCCAAGGTCAGGCCAGCCTGCCCCAAGCATCTGCTGCCAGGCGCAGCTGTCACAAAATATTAAGCTGTATCTGGAGACTCAATCTGCCAACTCGATTTTTACTGTCAATTGAAGAGAATGCTTGTCTAGGCTGATCTCCGGCTCTTTATATTGAATCTGAGCAAGCTCAGCTTTCCCTGCCCCTCAGCAGAGCCTCTAGGCACGAGGACAGGACTTGTAACACCTCAGCTGTTCCCCAGGCTGCTCCCTAAATTGATGAGTTATTCTTTACTGGAATAAAAGTAAAATTCCCTGAAATCCAGCATCTGAACAGTCCCAGTTCAGGTTACACCTCTGCCTTTCAAAACCTGCATGGGAAAAATTTGCTAAAGCCAATTTGCAGAGAAGCATTGGTGACTTCTTCAGAGTTTTGAGTTTGCAGTGAGATAGATCAAACTTACTCTAGTTACGCCGACAGAAGTTTTCTGGCACACAGGTGCGCTCTGCTGGGGCTTAACTCGCAGCAACCAGCAGGAAAGTTGCTTCCAATGTTTCTCCTGGATACACTCAATCAGAGCATCCATGCCCAGGGAAGTCAGGGAGGTTTCCCGATGAAGAACAAGCTTCCTCTGCATCACTGGCAGCACAGGCTGAAAGAACGGAGATGCTGTTTGCTGTGAGGCAACAGCACCCTTACCTGCACCCAGAGCAGGTATCTGTCAGCCTGCTGGAGCAGCATCCAGGATTTGAGAGCTGACTGTAACCCTAAGGTGGGTCTTGCTGCCAGGCTCTTCCCCAGGGCAGGGAGCAGCCACAGAAGAGTGACTACCAGGCACGAGATGCCTGGAGGGCTTTTGCCACGGTCTCTTAGCCAGCAAGCACAGGCTTTTACTCTGTACACTCCTTTTTCAACAACAACAACAACAACAATAACAACAACAAAAAAAGTTTCCCCTAAATCCTATTTTCCATTGAATCAAAACAAAGCCACTTGTCTCCCTTCCTTGCTGTTCTCCTCAGGTAAAAAGGGAGATTCACCTTTTGCCTCTTAACGTGGAAAAGAAATTGTTTCAAATGAGCTTTGGCAAAACTCCCTAACAGGTACTTCCTAGAATGAAAAGTTTGCAAGGAAATTTCTATCATTGCAGTAATTCTCAGCTGAGCTTCATTCCAGAGCCAGTACAGCCCTCTGTGGTTAAACAGAGAGCAGCAGAGTGAAACAAGGAGAAACTGAGTTTAATATAGTCAGTCTTGGGGGTTTTTCATGCAGCTTCTTGCTTCCCTAGAGTTTTATGGCATATCCCCTACAGCAGCTAATCTAACTGCCCAGAAAGGATAGCAGTCTTATTTCCAGGCCCACAAAGAGGCGGATGTATTAATGCCATAAGGAGCACTGCAGAATTTCTCTTTTTCCTGCTTAAAAAAAAATATAACCCACCCCTAACTAGCTGTTCTGCACAAACCCTGGTCCTGCTCTTCATCACGGGGCTGTGTGAGCTCAGGAGACGACCTTACCCCTGCTTTTTACAGGAGATGAAAACCCCTTAAAAGAAAAAACACCACTTGCAACTACAGGTACAGACCCGGCTTCAGCCAGCACCGAGGAATGCTCTTAATGACAGCCTGCTCTGATAACAGCTCCGGGAAGGGAGAAGAATTAAAGGTCTGGAGCTGCCAGATTGCAGGAGGAAAAGAGGCAAGATAAAAAAGACATGTGGGATGAGCAGCGTGCAGGAACAAGAGGCTGTTGTCAGAGGAGGGAGCTGCAGAGACCTTCCTGGGCCGGGAGCTAGTTGCTAGTGCCACTGTCAGAGTCTTTATAAAGGCACTTCTTCTTGCTCACCTGCAAGTTCTGTGCGCCAAACTCCTGCGAGCCCCACATAGAAATTGCTGTGATTGCACCAAATCTTCGTTATAAGTCTTGCTCACTGGCTGACCTGGGCTTTCTTCAGAAGCACCCACGCCAGCAGCGTTCACCCTGCAGCAAAGCCCACCCGAGAGTTACTGCAGCCTCCTTCGTAGCAGCGGGAGGGTCAGGGCACAGGCAGGGACCAGCAGCAGGAGATGAACGTTTCGGGGTCCTTCAGAAGCCTCCTCTGCTGCCTCCGGGTGTTAGAAGATTAGATCTGCACAGGAGGCACGTCCCATCTCTGCGCGCAGCAGTTACGGGCTTGCTGGTGGCACGTTTCCCCTTTTCTGCTGCTGCGCGTGAGGTGGGAGAAGTGCACGCAAGGTCCTCTCGTGCCCTTCTCCTGCTCAGTTTCAAGACTCCATGGCTCTTCACCTTCAAGCTCTGCATGAACCTCCCTCTCTCCTGCACAGCTCTCCACCTGAGCAGGGTATTTGTGGAGATGGTTTGATGTATGACATTTGATTCAGGACATTAATTTATTCTAGCGTACTTTGAGGCTAAACCCCACCTGCCCCACTGCTGCCGGTCAGGAATCGATGCAGGAGGCTCAGCAGATGGACCCAAGGTTGCTGCAGGCGCATGGTGAATGCATTTGCTTTCCTTGCAGGGAGCGCACAGTGCAGAAAGCGATGCTAGGCACCTTCCGGGAGGGGATTCGACCTACTTACGTCTACAAGGTGGTTCTGCTGGGGAGCACATCAGTGGGCAAGTCCAGCCTGGCCTACCGATACGTGAAGAATGACTTCAAGGAGTCGCTGCCAACCGTGGGATGTGAGTGAGTGGCTTCAATAGCCTGAGGGCTCTGGACAAGAGACCGGGCCTGGTGCCCTTCCTCGCAGCAGGGTGGGATGAAGGACGAGAGGCTGTATATCCCGCAGTAGCACAGACCCACTTTTGAACAAGTGATAGGACAAGAGGAAACGGCCTCAAGTTGCACCAGGGGAGGTTTAGGCTGGATATTAGAAAAAATTTCTTCCCTGAAAGAGTGACCAGGCATTGGAACAGGCTGCCCAGGGCAGTGGTGGCGTCACCATCCCTGGAGGGGTTCAAGAAACGTGTAGATGTGGTGCTCTGGGACATGGGTTAGTGGGTTAGGTCGGGTTGGGTTGGACTTGATGATCCTTGAGGTCTTTTCCAACCTTAATGATTCTATAAAGAACATGACATGGACTTGCCCCAGAGCCAGACCTCCCCCATGACTGTCACCTCCAGAACTCTGTGGCCCATTTCCCTCCACATCAGGCTGTAAGCAAAGCCACAGCCGCATTGCACTGCTGTGCTTTAGCCCTGCTCTTTGGAGGCAGATGAGCAACAGAAAGGAGTGAAACCTTGGTTTTGTGCAGCCCTCACAGCTACCTGGACACCTCAGGAGAGTTTCCTGCACACATGCTGCCCCCAGCCTCCATGTCTCACGGGAGCGAGGAGGTTCTGGCTGGGACACAGGTGGGCAGGACAGCCCAGGCAGGACCCCCCCAGCACGGATGGTGGGCTTGCAGCAATGCCTTGTCCCTCCAGCCTGCCTGCAGAGGCAGGAGCACAGACCTCCCCACATCCTGGGCAGGCTGCAAACCCCATGCTCTGCCCCACTGGAGGTGGCTCTCTATCTGGGGGTTATTCTACAAAGCTCAGAGCTATGTGACATCAAAACTGGTGTGCATCCACCCAAATCTGCTGCCAGGAGGAGCTCCCAGCGCGCCACAGGCTGCTCTGCCTTATGGCACATCATCCCATCAATGGTGCGATTGCTTACGAGAAACCCGTCCCGATTTTGTGCATTAGAGCCTTGTCGCTGGCCCTCGGGATGGGTTTGACCTCAAGGCAACAGATCTGAGCTCCCTGCTCTGGCTGCAAGTGAATGTGCACCCTGCGTCTTGCTTGCAGGCTCCTTCTTCACACAGACGCTCAACCTGGAGGTAGCCACCATCAAGTTTGAGATCTGGGACACTGCAGGCCAAGAGAAGTACCACAGTGTCTGCCACCTCTACTACCGGGGTGCCCACGCTGCTCTCCTCGTGTACGACATCGCCAGCAGGGTAAGGCAGGGTGCCGATCCCATTGGCGCTGAAACCACACTGTGCTGCAGGGGCAGGAGTGTCCAGATGATGGTGTTTGTCCTTGACAGAGCAGAAAGCAGTACACGAGCACCGCCTGAGAAGATCAGTGTCCCACTTGGGATGTGCCAGGGGCTGTCCCAGCCCATGCAGGACCATGCCACCACTCCAGGGGTGATTTCTGCTGCTGTGCAGAAGGGGTGCACCCCATCCAAGGTGGATTTATGCCTAAAGGTGACCTGTTCCCCTGAGAGGGAGGGCAATCGAATCCTCCCCACCAGATCTGTTCCACCGCCTTTGGTTTGGTGCCGTCTGTCCAGCTTTGCTATGCCTGAGACAAAGGGATTAAATCAAAGCCAGATCACTGGGTGACTTTGTCTCCATCTCTCCAGGAAACATTCAACAGAGCAAAGCTGTGGCTGAGGGACCTGGAGAAGGAATTCCTTCCCGATGAAATCGTCATTGCTTTGGTGGGCAACAAGACAGACCTTGCTGCTGAGCGAGAAGTCGCCACCGAGGTGAGCGCCCGTGGTGAGCTCCCAGGCCCCCTCCCATCCTCTCGGCAGCAAGCGCTGGGATACGTCCTAGCAAAGCCGAGAATTTAAAAGGCTTTCGGACACCTCCAAAGCCTCTGTACAATTACTGACCTGCCATGAAATGCCACCGCAACCGAACAAGCAGCCCCAGAGGGGGCTGGGGGAATAACTCTGCTTGTCTCCACCTAGGAGGGGGAAGAGTTTGCCAGGACCGAAGGCCTCCTGTTCATGGAGACATCTGCAAAATCCAACCACCAAGTACATGACATCTTTATGGCTGTAGGTGAGTTGTGTGACAGCTCTAGGTGAAAGCAGAGCAGGTGAACCACAGGCCCCAAACCTCTGCTTGGAGGCTGTAGATGCCTTCCCCCTGCAAAGCTGACCCTCTTCGCTGCTCATCCTTGCCACCGAGATCTTCCTCCCAGCTGGTCCAGCCTGCGCCGCACCCAGCGGCTGCAAGGCTCATGGCCACAGCAGCCCATGGCTTCTGTGAAACGTGGCACACCTCTGAGGGCAGAGGGATGGACAGATCCATCCCAGGATGCTCCAGCATCACAGATGGATTGCAGGCTCTCTCCCAAAGCCACAACTTTTACCAGTCTAGGTGCAATGGTGTCCGCAGCCTAGCTGTTTGGTAGAGATCTCATGCAGTTACCATGGGATGGCACTGGGGGCCATCAGTGGCTCCCCTCGAGTGGGATGGGACAGCCATGGCATCCCACCCCCCCCAGCAGGAGAACTGAGCCCTTTCTCCCCTTGTGCTTCCTCCTAGCCCAAGAGCTCCTGCAGCGGGAACAAGAGAAGGCATCTGCCCCATCCCCGCACCAGAGGTCAACAGTGGCCCTGGGGAAGGGCAGGGCAAGGACGGGGTGCTGCCAGCTCTGAGGACAGGCAGCTCTGGACCTCGGGAGCAATGACAAAGCGGGGGATGTACAAGTACGGGGCAGCTCAGCTGGGCCACCTTCCTCCTCAGAGCAAGGTCAGAGCCCATCCTGAGGGCACGGGGCCTCCTCAAGCCTCCAGCACTGGCTTCCTCAAAGCCAGTGGAGCTGGTAAAGCCTGGGGGTTTCTTCCACCAACTTTCTGTTTTCAGAGAGGAGCGTGAGACCCTCTGGCACTGCTGCCACCAGCCCTGACTGGTGACACCCCCCTGCCCAAGATACATGCCAGCTCCTCTGTGTTCCTTCCCATCTGCGACGGGAGGGTTTAACTTTCTGGAGCAAAGCAGGTGCATCCCAGCAGCTTTACACCCAGGCTGCAAATAAAGAGAATATTGCCCTAAAGGCTGTTTGGTTGTTTCCTGACCTGGATGTCAGCCTGCAGGAAGCCTGGAGCAGCAGGGACCCAAGCTGATGCTCCCCTTGCCTGGCTCATTTGAGCCCTGATTGTCTGGGGCTGTGCTGCAG